AGATGAAAAACAAGAAAATGGTAAATTTTTTTAAACTTAATTTTTTTAAATATCATTAAAAAAATTTTTTTTTTGAAAAATTGAAGTTTTTGTTATTTAAAAAAAAAAATTGATTTTTCTGTTTATTTTTCTAAAACAACACTAATATAAAACACTAAAAAAAATTATAGTTTTTGTTGTTATATTTATTATATAGAATTTAAAAGACAAGAAGCGATTCTTTAGATAGCAATAAGTTTCTTTGTCCTTTTCTATTTCAATTTTGTTTAAAGTTCGTTTGAAAGACGCTTTTTAGTTCGTGATTTAATTTTCTTTTTTTATGCGAATCTTTGTCACGCAGTCTAAATATATTAATTATAAGGTTGATTTCTAAGGTGACATAATTTTAATTCCCAATAGCGTTTTCGCTTTTTTTTTTTGAAAAAAGAACATACTTATGTTTCTTTTTTGCTTATAATTTGCCTAGTTATTTGTTTCTTGTCCCAGGTGAAAAGAATAAATCCTTTTTTAATTATGTTTATATCATTTTTGTCATTAAATATGTTTATTGCAATAGATACAAATCGTTTACTTTATTTTTTGAATAAACAAAAAAACGTTTTTATTAAACTATATTTCCACGTTTACGTTAAAAACATTGTTTTTTTTAAATAATATACCCCTGCAAATTTAAAAATACACTGATGTTCGCAAGCAGTACCGTAATTTTATTCCTTTTTAATGTTATATATTGTCGTTACTTGAAATATACAATGAAACCTCGATCAGCAGTTATTTAGTTTTAGTTAGCGGAAAAAATATATTTCTTGCCAACCCATGAATGTACGTTCATGGGGATATCTCTGTATATATAATGCAGAGATATCCGAATAATATTCGTATAATGTACAGAGTTAATGGTGAAGTTCATAAAAGACTTCACAACTTTTTGAGCAATTAGAATGCATCCGGAGTAAATGTAGGTAGCAACAGACAACTGTTGCCACACTTTTGAAAAATAAAAAATATGGTTTTCAACACTAACAATCATAATGCTTTTTTAAAAGATGGCCGCATAAAGTGCAAAAGTTAAAACTTGTATACCATTGTTAAATGGGGTTAATAATTAAAAACTTGTATACCACCTACCGCCAGTTGTTGGCCTAATACTAGGCCGATAGTTTGGGAGGGGAAAGGGAGTATGGTGTCTGTCACCCTCCTTTTGAAAAATTAGGTCGGTTTCAAAATTTTATTAATTTATGATTTTTTTTCCTGTGGTTTATTTTTTCAATTTAAGTAGTTGCCTCAACCTTTACAATTGAAATAAATATTATATTACCAAACAATTAGAGTTATCTATATTATCCAGACATTAAGAAAAAAACGTTTTGAATTGTGACATTATTTGAAAAAATAATTAATTGATTTTTACCTTATTTAAGTTAATTATTTAATTAACTATTTCAAAACGGTATAAAATGAATAAACCTTTCAGAATTATGTTTAGAGTTATTCAATTTTCTATGAGTTGTTTAAACTGTTTATTGAAATGGCCACTATTTGGAACGAAATTAAAGAATTTAATAATGAATGCGCTGATTTATTAAAAGGTAAGGATTCTATTTAAATATTACTTTAATCATTTATTAAAATTCTTTATTGAAATGCAAAAACCCAGTTGTACATAATATTACCTAAAGTCTTGAAAAAACTTTTTACTAAAAGTTTTTAGTAAACAGTTCTTAGATGTGTCTACATAATTTGTAGATAAATTTTTATATAATTACTTTTGAGAGATTTTGTGTACTTTACTGATGTATTATTATTTTTTAATTAGTATTAAAAAAAAAATTATCTTACTCGCCTATTACTATTACTCAGCCAAGGCCGAGGGACAGTGGCGGATTACCCACTAGACACACTAGGCACGTGCCTAGGGGCCCCAATGTAGAAAAGGCCCCTAAATTTCAAAATATTTTCAAAAAATTAATAAATTTTTTATAAGGGGCTCTAAACATAATATGCCTAAAGGCCCCAGACGACCTTAATCCGGCACTGCCGAGGGGACATTTCATCCGAAGACTTATTATTTATTCTTTTAAAATGTTGTAACAACCTTCTTTCGACTCTTTACCTCCGTAGCACATATCTTTACGAGCAAGTTAAGCGCAGTACTTTTAGTGGCGTGATGAAAGTCGAACTTCCATCACGTTTAAATGTATAAATTATTTATTATGTATAACTAAATTTTTACACGTTATGTTTATTCTTTTTAGATTTTGGAGTATATTTGGACGAAGATCTTAGGCATATGGGATTAGGAATATTAAATGTTATAATTCCTGGAATGACACCAAAAATACTGATACAAAAAGCAATTGTTTTAAAAGCTGTATTCAATTATTAAGTAAGTGTCTTGTTAGTTATAAAGTAAATGTCTTTACAATATATAAAATATTTCGGCAAAATTTTATATAACTTTGAGTAAAGTTACTGAAGAATACACTTATATAAATATAAAGGAAACAAAGGTTTTTTCTTTGTAATATTAATGGTAAAAAAAATAATTTTATGGGTATAAAATTTAGACGATGGCCAATATGTTTTTAGCAAATTGTGAGAAAAAAAGATTGTCAAAAAAAGGTCCATTAAATATGAGACTTAAACAAAAGGGGGTTTAAGCAATATTAAAAAATGTTTCTTGATATTTATAAAATATAGCCCAAAAATATGACAAATAGTAAAAAAAATAGTATTGAATGTTCTCCATAAAAAGAAGATCAGTTATATAAAAATACATGTTTCCAATATACACATTTATTCTTATGCAATTTATTATCTTATTTTTATTTTATTATTACCTATTTCGTTATTTATTTTTCTTTTTGAGACTATATGCAAATTTATAGGAAAAAATATGTAAACTTTAAAAAATTGTCCATGTTATCATAATTAACATAATATTCAAATACTAAAAGTGTAAATATACGTAAGTTTTATAATTTAGATTCAATAATAAATGAGGAACAGGTAAAATGAAAAAATAAATTTTGTGGGCCTACTGTCTATGTTATTAATTTGAAAAAATAATTGTTTTTTTTTCAAAAGATATTTAGAAATATATAAATTATTGATTAAATGAATTAAATATGCCCAAATTTGCCAAAGGATTCGTGGTTCAAACCAACCTAAAAAGTTTTTCAAGATCGATAAAGAAGGAGACTTAAAGTTCCTATTGAATGCTTTTCCGTGGTGCTTTGCAATAAGAGTGTAAGGACTTTTTGGGGCATCTAAAATAAAAACTGAATTGATTATTTCATTTTTATCCAGAAAAAGGATAAAAGTGAAGTATTTTATGTATAGTTTTTTGTCAGTGACGTAACATTTTTGTATTGTTCTTTGTTTTATTAACTATCTGTTGCATAGTAAAGCAAATTTAAATGTTAATAAATCAATCAAACTTACTTTTTACATTAAAATCAAATTACTAAATTTTGTTTTATTAAATTGATTATTTTAGTATAATTAGTTAGTTAGAATAATTATATAACTGAAAAGTGTAAAACTAAAAAAAAAGCTTTTTATAATTTTTGAAGCAATTCCGCCTCAATGCACAGTGGGATAGAGTAAAGAGATTTTTTTTTGGTATTTTTGTACCAAAATACCAAAAAATCATTTTCAACAGTACATGCTAAATTATTGTCATAATGATGAAGATATGTTTATCAGAGGCAGGGGCGACTTTTTGGAGGAGGGGTATACACTCCCTTTCCCGCAACATTTACCGCCTCCCCCCTTCCCCCCAAGATGATAATTTTCAAGTTATATTCGTTTTTTTTTACAAATTTAGTCGCTAGTCGGTTAAATTTCTGTTTTGAGGACTTTTTTCTTTTTTTTTTTTTTTTTTTTTTTTGTAGCTAGTCAGATAAATTTTAAGGGTTCACCCCTCCCCCTCATTTCATTTGTAGAATCGCCTCTGATTAGAAGAAATATAAAGTTAAATAAACATTTAATAATATTTAAAACGTTATTTATGCGATCATTCATAAATTTGACGTGTTTTAAAACGTCATTTTGCACATTTTAACTATCAGCTTTCTTACTCTTCAATTTTAAATTAATTTTATTAGGTATAATTTTTATTTTGTTTCAATTAAGATTGTTTTTTTGTTCAGACTTTACAAAACAGTTTAATGTATGTGTATGGCAATTGTTTTTATGCATCAGTAACAGGCAGTTTTTAACAATTTTGTTGCTGTAAACCTTTACTATTAGATATTAGATAAGACGTCCTCCAATATCCTTCAAATTATTTCCTGTGAGTCGCCCCATTTATATAATATTATATTATTAATATAAATCAAGTCATTTACAGTTATTTGTTATTGCCCTTTAAGAATGCCCAAAAACGTCAGTGAATCCCGTATAGTACAAATATTTGCATTTGTTTCATAGGCTTAAACAATTTATGTGTATGCGAAATAAGTTGAGACATTAAACAATGATACTTTATATCAATTTTTATTACCTTTACGAAATTTAGTGCGAACCAATTTATTTCCTTTTTTTACTTTGCACAAATGTTTTTTCTTGGCTTTGGTCCGCACTAACTGTCCCACACTACTCGAAAATGTACACTTTTTATTTTCTTTTTATTATAATTAATAATCAATATTTTTGGGGGCTGTACAAATAATGCGTGAAACCCATGAACATTTTGTGACATTTTTTTCAACCCCTTCCTTCTCCCCTAAATGAGACGTGACATTATTTTTAAACAAACAATATAATTTACCTCAGAGTTGGCAATTTTTTGGTTAAAATTTCATCAATTTTGCTGTGATTAGAATTTAAATTTTAGAAAATTTATCACGTCACCCATTAGCTTAGCATCCCTTCTCCATGTGAATTTTGCGACACATTGAACAGTGTTTACGGAGACTGTCATTATTTAAACAGCATTTAATATTTAAGTATTAAGATGTCATTTCTTATATTTAGAAACGCTCTTGTGCTGAATATTTTGATGTTGCTCAAAATAATGTAGACTTATTTTCATCAAATACATCTTTGTTAACCACATCTCTCTCAATTAACAAAAGTTCAATTGACTTATAAATTGATAATTTGACTTAAAAATTGGTAAGTTTACCTTGTTTTACCTTTTTTAGCTACATAATATAAAATAATGTGTTCTTTATTTAGATTTTCATTATAGGTTTTTAAATAAACATTTTCTAATTAAACTTTGTCTATGTAAATAAAATTTACATAGACAAAGTTTAATTAAAAAATGTTAAACTATTTTTATCTAATAAAGGTGCAATTTTCAATACATTTACTCCTTTGGATTGTTTTGAAGGTCAAAATTCTACAGATATTAAATATGGTAGTGACGCATTTGTTACCTTTTTTTAACAGTTTTAGTATTTGGGTTTTGTTATATTTCTATGTTTATACTAATAAAAACTTGGTTTATAAACTTATATGCGAAAATTTTAAACTCTTTTCATCCAAATAAGGTGCAAGTTTTAGTATATTTATTCCATCGGAGAGTTTTGCAAAGCAAAATAAAGTTCAAAAATCTGCAGAGAAAAGATATGGTATTTATGAAGTTATAAATAAATTTTATTTTAACAAAACTGATGTTTGGGTTTTAGTTTTTTTTATATGACTTATACAGAAAAACCTTTTATCTATAAACTTATATGCAAAAATGTTGAACTCTTTTTATCAAATAAAGGTGCAAGTTCCAGCACATTTACTCCTTCGGAGTGTTTTGCAAGTCAAAATGAACGTCAAAAATCTACAGATATTAGATATGGTAGTTACGCTTTGGTTACCTTTTTTTTTTTTTAAACAGACTAAATATTTGGATTTTAATATGTTTTATGATTTATACAAATAAAAGTTACATGCGAAAATGTAAAACTCTTTTCATCTAATGAAGGTGCAAGTTCCAGTAAATTTATTTCATCAGAGAGTTTGGCAAAGCAAAACAAAAGTCAAAAATTTTCAAATATAGGACATGGTATTTATGCAGTTGCTAATAAATTTTATTTTATCAAAATTCATATTTGGGTTTTAGTTTGTCTATTAGATTTATACAAAAAAAAACATTTTTATCAATAAACTTATATGCAAAAATGTAAAAGTATTTTTTATCTAACGAAGTTGCAAGTTCTAATACATTTATTCCATCGGAGAGTTTTGCAAGTCAAAATGAACGTCAAAAATCTACAGATACAAGATATGGTAGTTATACTGATATACTTACGTTTTTTTAAGAGTTTAAATGTTTTGGTTTAATTTATTTTTTTATTTTATACAAATAAAATTTCAATCGATACACTTTTATTGAAAAATGTTAAACTATTTTTTATCTAATGAGGGTGTAAGTTCAAGAACATTTACTCCTTTGGAGTGTTTTGCAAGTCAAAATGAAGGTAAAAGCTCTACAGATATTAGATATGGTAGTTTGGCATTCGTCACCTTATATATTTTTTATTTATACAGATAAAACTTCTTAGATACATTTAAATGCGAAAATGTTGAACTCTTTTTATTTAATCAAGGTGCAAATTCCAGTACATTTACTCCTTCGGAGTGTTTTGTAAGTCAAATTGATGCTCAACAATCACCAGATACTAGATATGGTAGTTAAGCATATGTTACTTTAATTTTTTTTTCAATTAAATATTTGCATTTGTTATTGTAGTTTTCTAAGCTTTAACATTGCATTAGGTGTCACGTGGGGGTGGGGAGTGGTGTACAGTTAAAAATTTAGGTGATTAAAAAAATCTTGTTTATTAAAATTCATTTACTGGCTGTTCAAAAGGGCTCTAGAACAGTATGTCAAAGTGAACTAATGAACAATTTTCTCTTCATTTTGTCTGCAAAATTGAGCTTTTAGACAAGCCAGTCTATATTTACGGACTGACTGGTCTAAGAGGTCAATTTTGACAACAAAATGAACAATTTAAAAAAAAACTGTAAATGGCATCTAAAATGCTTAATAGGGCCTGTCAATTTTACCTCAACTTTGCCCCAATCGAGACCCTTAGCATTTTTATTCAGTTTTAACATTGCTCTTTTCCATTTTTAAATATATTAGTGAAACATCATAAATAAAAGAGTGACTTTTAACATTCAGCAAATTTGACTTTGGCCCTTCTTTTAACCCTTTTGCTCCATTTGTGACTCTTTGAAATTTTTTTTGGATTGTAAAAGTATTTTTTCTATCGTTTCCAAACAAACCTAATTAAACAGGCTTTATTTGATTGTCACGACATAAAAACGCGGCGGTATCTATGTGTTCTTTGTGTCTCACAGCGTGCACATTGTTTCATAAAACGGTCCAATAAACATTAAAATTAAGCTAAATTCAAAAAAAACAAAACAAATTTAAAATGTTAATTAAACTTTTATGCTAGAATGTTTATAAATATTCTTAAAACATAATTAAATAATATATTTATAATACTACATATAATTATCTGTAATATCTTTCCTTAAAAACATATTTCTTTTAAAAATATATATAATCATATCAATAAACATGATTTAATAAAGTTCTTTTTTCAAACATTTCTAAGACTTACAAACAAGAAGCAGAGGTACAAGCAAGAAAGAAGGAAAAAATTTACTAACCTGAAATTGTGCCAGGTATATTTTAAAATAATAACTTATGAAACAGGGTGAAACTATTAATTAACAGTAGATAGACAGGTTGTTGTTAGTATTTATAATAATAGTTGTTAATAATAAATGCATAAAATGAAAATACTTTTGTTATGTTTTTAATGTATTACATTGTTAAACAAAACACTTATGTGTAAATTTTTTAACTGACATATCTTATAGTTGATTTATTTTGACTGCAAAACAAATTTGAGAAAGAAAATATCATATTCAATATATAACTGCAAGAACAAAATTAACGAACGAAAGAACTAAAATTCTGAACAATAAAAATCATCGTTTGAAAGATTTAAACATGATAGAGTAGAGCCCGTTCAATTAGTTTTAACATGACAAAAATAGATCCGTCAAACAGAACTTTTTTTAGAACATATTTCTGTATATTTCAATAATAAAACCTTTGATTTATATTTGATATACCTTTGATCTATAGTTATGATATTATCTATTATTTTCTTCATAGAAATAAGGTTATCAATTTTAGTAATTTTTACATTTGTCTCTAATTAAAATAGCAATCTCTGGGATTTCATAAACACTTAGCAATAAATCAAAAATATCTCTATAAATAAAAACTTAATGGTTTCAAGGCCTTCTCTCCTATCAGTTGTCACTCAAGTTTCAGAGTATTTCCTATCAAAAATAGAAATTGAAAAAATTATTATATTAACATTAAAACGAGATGGGTTCATAGGAGGAGAGGGGGAAATAGACCAAGTTTACCCTTTTCTTATAAATTTAAAATTTTTTTTTTGAAAATCTATAAGTATATTTATAATTATATCTTATAAAGTAAATCTATAAGTGTTTTTATAAATCTATAACACATCACGGTATATTAGAGAGGCTCTATTATTATGCTAATAGTTTTAATCAAAGTTTTATATTTATTCATCTTAAAAGTATAAATTCTTCAGAACGCACCTATAAACCTAATATGTTATATTACTAATAGATTTTTATCATTTATTATTATATAATTAATAGACTGCACTTATAACTGTATACATAGACCTTTTAAGCTAAGTTGTTTTGATTTTTTTTGACACTTTTCATAACTTATTGCGCCTTACAGCGCTTTCATAACATTCTTTAAGTGATGAATGAGAAAGCTTAAAAATCAAATATATTACAAAAGTATATACCTCAACTTGCATGTATTGAAAATATAAATATATATATATTTAATTTTTTAATTACATTGCAATCAGGGGCGATTTTACGGGGAGGGGGATTGTGTGGGGCGATTTTACAGGGTGTAAAACCCCCTCCTCCTATGATGGTGATTTTCAAGTTTCAGTCGATTTTTTTACGAATTCAGTCGGGTTATCGGTTAAATTCTCGTTTTGAGGACCTTTTTTTATTTTCTTAATGGTAGCGTGTATTTTCTAATCAAAGCAGTTTTTTTAGCATCGTTTTTGATTTAAAGTTTTGTGGAAACAAAATTACAAAATCCTTTTAAAATGTCTTATGCAGTAACGCGGCTTAATTTAGGTTGAATACAAACTTGCATTTAGAGTAAATATACACAGGAATTTCATTTGGTTTTTTTTTATTGTATTTTTGTAAAAAGATATTTATCTTTCAGTTTGAATTTTATACTAAAAGTGTAAATATGTTTCCATCCATTTAAAAAAAATTTCACAAACAAAAAATTAAAATATGATTTGCTATCAAATTTTTTAAATAGAAAACTTGAGAAATAAAATTTATTACTAAAATTCAGACTAAATTTCTGAGCTATTAATAAGTTTGAAATATCTTAACGTTTTCTTTTTTTTAGAATTGTTAAACTTTTTTATTGAACTGAAGGCATATTATATTTATGCAGTTGTAATTATGCAATGAGCAAATGTTTAAAACTTTTAAAAACAGTTCATATGGTTTTGTATTCTTACAGTAATAACATAGTGTATTTAGTTTAAATTTTTTTTTAAAACAAATCTCATAGACTTTTTGAAAAACCTTTGAACTTGCTACGCATTGTATAATGACTTTGACAATTTTTTTTTACAAAACATAGCAAAGTTTTATTATGTAGCACTGCCATATGAAAACTTTGTATATTAATTATTTTCACATTAATCATTTAATAAATGGTTTCTTTATTTATAAATTATATGTAAGTTTTACATACTTATAAAAAAAATTAAAATCGTGCATTCCTTTAATGTGGAACTTTACATATTTAAATATATAAGTAATATAATTAATATATATTTCTCATTGTATAAGTAATATATACATTTATTTTATGCATTTACAAAGGATTTAAAGTTTTTATACCAATTAAATTACAGTTACAAACAGTAATAAACTGACAAAACGTAACAACTAAAGATGACATAAACACAACCACTGCTAAAAAAAATTATAAAAATATATTTAGTAAATAGTAAACATATTTTTATTATAACATAATAACCAAAATATTTTGCAAATAATATGAAAAAGTAAATAAGTAAAAGATAAACAGAAAAACACTGAGAAAATCAAAACAAAACAAAAGCTACAACAAACATTACAAGCAAAACAAAATTGCCAATAAAAACAAAAAAACAACATCAACAATAAGAAGAAAACAACAATATAAATTAAAAATAGTTAATAAATAAAAATAAAAAAGTAATAATAATACACGGTAGAATAAAATATATATATTAAATGTTTAAAAAAAATAAAAATTATATAACGCTATAAAATATTAGATATCGTTATTTAAAATTAATTAACAAATAAAAAAAAACAAACACGAAATGACTAACAAAAAATAGTAAGTAAATTTTTATAAATGGCAGTGTCATTTAGTAAAACCTTACTAATAGTAATATTATCACTTTACAAAACATAGTAAAACTATGTTTTGTAAAATGATTATATTTTCAATTATATTATAAATTTATATAACTTTATATATAGAGTTATATTATAAATTTTATAACTTAAATTTTAATTTTCAGCATAAGGTCTTAAATCGTAAAATATTTAAATAATTTTTATTACAAAGTATTTATAATTAAAAGTAATTAATATTAAAAATTATAAACTGTTCAGTTAACCATGACATGTGGGTCCCACCTGGAATGTAACTAGATTATTGGAACTAAGATATGGCTGGGAATTGAACTGGCTGAAAGAAAGGTCCCATATGGTACAACGGACGGGCAAAAATTATGCTTGAAAATATAATAAACTCTTTTAAATTAACATACAGTAACGCAGATTGATTTGGATTGAATATACACTTGCATTTGGAGTAATCTGGAACTTACTTTGGTTCATTTTTAGTATTTTTTTAAAAAGAATTATTTACATATAAGTTTTAATTCTATAATAAAAGTATAAATATTTTAAAAGCAATATTTATACATTCTTTATTAAAACAATTTTACAAAAATAAATAAAAATAAAAATGGCATACTCTTAAACTTCTTAAATTCTCTAAATTTCATATCCATTAATAAGTTTGAGAGTATGCTAACGTTTACTTTTTTACAGACTTGTAAAATGTTTTATGAAACTGATGACATATTTTTTTATTTTTTTATGCAATAGACAAATGTTGACAATATTTCAAAGTTGTTTATGTGGTTTAGTATGCTAGCAGTTATGGCTTTGTCACTAAGTTACAAAAACGAAATACACTGAGTTAATGTGTTTCGTTTTAAATTAATTTTTTCAAGCAAATCTCAATGTCACTTTACAAAATATAGTAAGGTGTGACTAAGTAACACTGCCATAAATATAAACTTTACATATTATTTATAAATACATAAATGTTTTATATTTTCTATAATTAATATAATTAATAATATAATATTTATATTATAAATACTGGAACTGATATTATAAGTTATAATATAAGGTTTTATATGAAAAAATGTTTAAATTATTTATATGCGAATTATTTATAAATAATCAAATTCACATTATATGTAAATTATTTATAAATAATCTAAAGTAATAACAAAAAATTATTAGGTGTTATAACGTTTAGCTTTATTTGTCTGTATTAAAGAAAAAAATACCACATTTTGTTTGAATATATTTATTTATTAAATACATTTTTAAATTTTTTAAAATATAAAAGTGTACAAATCGGCTAGTCAAAAAAGGAAATGTTAAGATTTATGGTTTTAAGATGTTTTTTAAATAATTATCACAGGATGTTATATAATTTTCTTAGATTATGTAGAGAAATAAATAATAATAATATACAATCATAAAATGCTATTCAAGTGCAATATTAAAATGAAAATGCCATTTTGATACTAAATATTGAAAAAGCTGAATGTTTGAATAACCATGAGTGTTTTGTATTTTTCACTTGCTATAATAGGTTAATTTCATTGCGTTATTATATGATATTATTTAGTCACATGTAATATGTTAATTTAACAAAGTTATAAAAACGGTATCAAATTTTTTTGGTAATACATTTTTTATTTATATTACTTTTGTACTTTTTAACTATATTAAATTTATTAAAGAGGTTTTATAGTATCTATGTTTTGTTTTTAGAGGTGGTTTGTGTTGATTTATGACTAACAACAGAAACTACAAAACTTCAATAAATGTTAGTTTTTTACACATAAAAGTTATGAAAAATCTCCTATGAAATGGTTCATTTTAAATCTAGTAAGTTTACACTTAATCTGACAACATTATTTTGAATATTTTTGTTTCAAAAAGTTTAGGAAAGTTTTACTTTCCCCGAGTTTGACTAATCATCAATACAACTTTTATATATATTAATATAAGTTCTCCACGCTTGTTTATAATTGTAAATTTTTATTGTGAAAATAGTTTCATTACAAAATTTATTGTGGTCAAAACTACAATTGTTTGAAATAATAAGATAAAATCTAAATGTTAGTGATATTGATTATTTTTGAATTTATTAAAATATATAAAAGATATTAAACTCTCAACAACTGATTTAAGGGTTTGATATCAGGTTAACTTGACTCAAGACTTTAAATTTTAAATGGTATCATAGTAGTCATGTTGTATTATTGTTGTTTACAAGTCTGAAGTACAACACCTTTACAAAGAAGAAATTATCGAACCTTCGACATCATCATCAAGATCACAAGTCTTTGTAAGAAACAAGAGATAAAACAAATCCTAATCATAAACTATAGTCAAATTATTAATTGTTTTATAGTCTTGATGCCTATCGATACTTGAGCACTATTGATTTAAAAATACCAGATCACAATTAAACAAGAATTATGTCTGTATACTGCATTTGAAGCTGACAGTGGTTTACGTCAATTCATTTGTATGCCTTTTAGTATGACAAACGGAGTAACTCAATTTAAATAAACAGGAGACAATTTTTTTGCTAATGAGATTTTGTAAAATTTTTGCTTATCTTGATGGTTTGACAGTTTGTGGACACGACTACAAACCATAAAATGCTTTCTTTTTGCAGCTAAAGCAAAGAATTTAACTTACAGCAACATAAAATGTGAAAAAATCAAGACTACTACAATGAAACTCCTCATAAAGGACTCTTTACAATCAAAGATGCTCTGCTAATGGACATTCAATCCAATTATAGCTTACACAACCTGGCAAGGTGTTAAAGAAACATGTTTAAAAATCTAGATCTAAATTTGACGTAGACGAGGTATTCCTAATGCAAGCAAACCCACAATATGCGCTTATTTAGCATGCCAACAGTTGTGAATCTACGGCTTCTATTCGTCACCTTGAACCACTAACTTAAGTCTCACTTACAGTTAACTTACATTTAAACATAGCATTTAAGCTCATCGGAACAATCTACTGCACACCTGTTACAAGAACCAGATAAAACTGCACACAAGTTACAAAAATCTGGTAAGACTGTATCATTGGATCTTCCTTCACATCCAGTAAGTCTCGCCCTGCCATGTTCAATAAGGTTGATAATTATATTTACCAAGATAATCAACTCGAAAGCGCACGACCCCAAATTGGTTGGATCTTTGAACAATAGACTACTTTAAACTTAAAAATGTTGGGGAGAATGTGATGAAATTGAGCATTAATAATTATTTTTTATAACATTTCTTATTGTTTTAGGTAATAAAAAGTTAAAAAGAAATTATTCAGTTATTGTCATATATTCTTCGAGCCCACAACAAGCAAAAACAATCTTTTAATTAGTTTTACGCAGAATAATAACTACTTCATTTAATTTAAGTAACCAGTTTAAGTATGTTATATATTTAGTTTAAAATATTCAACTGAAAATAACAGGTTAAATGTAATAATTTTTTGCGTCCCGTAAGTAACACAGTATATAATCAACTATAATTTCTATGGTTATATTATTTGAACGAAATTTCAGTATACAGGAAAACAAAAAAATGATTTTGGGATGATTCATATATGAACATATAATCTGTTAAAATAAAAAATATATATCATAAAATGTGACATTACAAAAATCAAAATGTCCCGTAAGTAACAGTGGCATTGCCCACCAATATAATTTATACATCTTCCCAGTGGGCATTTCGACGTCGAACGAACGTCGAGCGACGTCGGATCTCGACGTCGGATCGACGTTGGGTTTACGTTGGAAATGTTATTTGACGTCGGATAAACTGACATCGCGCGACGTCGGCATTCCGATGTAAATCCAACGTGTTTTTTGAAAACTAACAAAACGTTGCCTTTGGCAGGAATCGACCCTGGGTCTATAAGATACTAAGTCCTACGTGCTTACCACTACACCACAGGGGCTTATTAAATAATGCGTTTATTTAGTAATGTATACTTGTAGCTATTTGGGAATTATTACTTTGTTAAGAAATTATTTTTTTTAAATATTATATAAATATTAAAACGAATAGTTATATATTATAAAAAATGTATACTCGAAAATGTTAATAGTTAAAAAACTATGCTAGTGCATCATACAAAACCTCATGATGTTTTATCAACCTTTATTCAAACTTTTTTCCATTAATAAAAAAATACGCTTAGTTCACATAATTATTAAAGAGCGCAATTGCACGCACATTGTTGGGTTTGAATTAAATTTTCATCAGCGATGTCTTACAACGTTGTTCCGACGTCGTTTTAAGGACGTTGGATTGACGTCGGAAGACGTCAAAAGACATCGGAGTACGTTAATATTATGACGTTGCCAGGCGTCTTTTTATCGACGTTGGATCGATGTCAGTACTGCGACGTTTTTTGGACGTCTTTTATAAGATGTCGGAACAACGTCAAAATACATCGAAACGACGTCAGGGGATGTAGAGATAAAGACATTGTCCGACGTCATTTTACTGATATCGGAACAACGTCGGAATAGGTCTTTTGACATCGCTGATGAAAATCGTACGTAAATCCGACGTCGGATTGACGTCGGGTGCCCACTGGGTTTAAACCACCTAAATCTTCAATGATGCTCCCTATTAGATGCCCTCACTCTTCCTAATCTCTATATAAGACCACCACTTCTTTTTTTTTTTTTATAGTTACATCCCACACCTATCTGATTGATGCGTTTTCAATTCTTTCAAAATAGTAAACATCATTAAATGGACATCATCTTTATTGCATATATATATATATCACTGCAACGCATCATTATAATCTAGGCTAACAAAGCGTATATCTTTTCTTATTCTTCAACAACACACTTCATGCTGTTAGCATGGTATATCGAATAGTAATATATCAGTAGAAATGTTCAATATACATATATATCAAATGTATAAATATTTAAGAATGATTAAGTTATATATAGTGCTACTGTTATTATATCTATACTAATTAACATATATAAAAACAAACACTTTTGGAAAACATCGAGTTGAAAAACTCTTTCCGTAATTTATACAAGTTGTTCAGGGGAGTTAAAATAATATGGAGAGTTAATTTGTTTTGCCGACAGAGGTTAATTTATTTCAAAGGGAGTTAATCTATTTCAAAATAGACTAACTCTTCGGTTAATTTTTTTTCGCGACAGGAGTTGATTTATTATGGGAGTTAATTTGTTTCATGGCACCGGTTATCTAGAAAAAGGATTGTGCTTGTGGCCGCCTAAAAAATGCAGCTGGGTTTGGTGCACAATTTGCTGATATTGTTAAAACGACACACTATATACATTGATATAAAAATAATGGATGCATGATTTCAGAGAATTAAAACTGGAAGCACTTATTTTAGCTTTTTTTTTAGTTTTTTTATTTTTTTGAATTCTGGGGAATGTTTTTAAAATGATGGCTTATATTAATGTAAAAAATAAGGCGAAAGTTTAGAGTTTAACATAGGGTTTCTTTTGGTTAATTAGGATTTTAAAAACATTTCTGCGTTAAACGATGATATCCTTAAAACTTTACTATTGATAATAAAGTATTTTTTATAGACTTAAATTATAGTTTTTTTTTTATTTTACAATAAAATTTTTTCACAAAATTAATTATATAAAGTAGAAACACACGTGTGATTAAAGCAAAAATCTGCTTTCTTTGATTACTTTTTCATGAATGACTGTTAGATGACATTTTCTGGTAAGGTATTGGCTGTTACAAATTGTAAGTAGGTGGGTACCATTGCCGTTGAACCATTGTCAGTTGGCTAAAATTAATTAATAATAATAGCTATATCTATACAAAAACATATAAATTTACTATTTTTCAATAACATTTAACTAAAAATCTTACAGGTTTTACACTACTACAGCAAACAACAGCACATCCAAGAATACATGCAGATAATGCAATTATAACGGCTGTAATTAAAAATACGATAACCAAGGTGAGAATCGGAAAAGTTGTCGACAAAACATCACAACTTTCAATTCCTAAATATGTTATTAGCAGTAAACAGAGTTATTGCTAAAGTAAAAAAAATAAATTTTAAATATTTAACTATGAATAGAAAAAGCAATTAAATCGCATTCTTATGCTGTTAACTGAACGATCTAATAATTTAGTTAGAAAACACTTTCAAGTGGATAGTAGTCGATGTATACCTTAACAGTTGTTTTTTTTACCTATGTTTGTTTTTCTTTGACATTCTTTGACAGTTGTTTTTCTTACCTACTTTTTTGGCTAAGCTATTATGACTAGCAAAAAACTCTAGGCTGAATCCTTTGTGGGCAAAGCCAATCAGTTGGCTACTGTATCATTGCTGTTGTTATACTGTAAAAAAAGCTTGTAAATAATAATGTATAAATGTAATGTATAAATCAAAATTATCCAAAAGATCAAAGAAGTTGAAAAATTCAAGTCATTCTTTTTTTAGTTTTAATCATTAAGATTTTTTAGAATAAACTTAGGATTTCAGTTGTTTTTTTTGTATCATTTTGTTCATACCTGACTTTTCCTATGCTGTTTTAGACTTTTTTATGATCGCGTTATTTAATCGATTACTTTGATACTGTTCAAATGCTAAGATGTTTTTTTGTTAATAATAGAATTAGTGTTTTCAGTTTTATTTGTATTGTCTCTTTAAATATCACGAATAAAAATTATTATATAGTTTAAAATATTTCTTAATTTATTTAATTTAAATAAATTAAAAAAAAAAAACCTTAGTTATTTTTTAAAAGAAAAAAAAATTTAAAGTTTTAAAGTAAAATAATTAAAGACATACTAATAATATTAAAACAAATAAAAGTATGTATAATGAAATAAATAAACAGTTATTAACAATAAAAAAAACTCATCAAAAATAAAATTTTAAAAATTTACTTAAAAAGTAAATTAGTCTAAATTGTAGTATTATTAAAACGTTTTTGAAACTTGTCTAGTAGACAAAGTGTGTCTTTAGAAGAAATAGCCTAAATCCCAACGGGCATTTGTTGGTTTAAAATTGGTTTAGATTACGTTTAGATGGCATTTACGTTGATCTAAACGTTTAGGAACCAATACTAAACGTGTTCTGAATATTTAATTTGCGTTGAAAAGCTAAATCAAACGATTTCCGTACGGAACTAACTTAATTAAATTAGTTTCGCACAAAATGTGTCGGACATTTTGAATCTTTCATTATGATTAAAAATTAGAATTTCTTATGAATCTTAAATTATGTAATAAATGGTTTAGAAAAGATAAAAGAAATTTGTTTTTAGTATTATATTGTGGCTAATAAAGCAGCTAAAAAGTCCTGTAAGTTCTTCGATAATGTTGTATAGGCGATTAAAAGTAATTTTAAGTACAGTAACTATGTAATTTGATAATTCTTTTAGTTATTGCTACTAATATAGCAGTTTCAAAAAAGTAGCAGCAGTTTCAAAAATGCATCAGGTTCAGCATTTTTTTAAATTATTTCTTAAATTGTTTTTTCTGTTTGGTTTTTAACAACGCAATAGAACGTCTATAGTTAACTCTTAGCTTCCTAATTTTTCTACTTTTACTAAAAGTAGAAAAATTATGAAAAATAATTACCACTTAAAATGCATTAATTTTTTCTAAAAATTTTAGAGAAAAATTATGCATTTTAAATGGTAACTACTTTTTAAATAACTAAACAAAATTATTATTTTTGTTTTTATTAAGACCTAACATCTATTTGTTTATTTCATAAACAGATTAATATAACATCTTTCATAAATTATAATAGATGTTATATTGATCGAATAGCAATGTTATAATATTTATACTTTTAGTGCAGACAGTGCCAATCAAAAATTGTGAGGTTCTAATATTTATATAACGAACTTTAGTTTTAGTGTAGGCTTTTAGTGTAAACTAAAAAATATTTTTAAAAAATTAAGTATTCTTCATACTCCTATATGATAACCACTTAAGAGAAAATAAACTTACTTATGTCTGATATGATAGATTATTATATTGTATCATTTATTTTCTATTTAGTAGAAAAATTAACATGGCTTGAACAATAATATATATACTATATATAATATAGCTATATTATATAATTTTCTGAAATCCACACAAATATATTTTTTATTGTTAATTAAGTTTTGCGTGTTTAATTTCATTTAATATTTTATATACAGTCCAGTCAGTTGCAACAACAATTAAAGCAGCAGGAAACAACCAAGTACACATGCAAGTGGTAAATTGATTTTTTGTGACGTTTTTACTTCTTTAAAGTTTAAATTTTTCCTAAAATAATAATTAAGTTAATGGTTATTTCTGTGAAGATCATTCTGTAAATAAAAACTGCAGTGATTTTTAAAACTAATAGTTATTTTTTTAGTAATCACAAGATAAACTGCAAATTCTGTTCTTTTAGATATGATTCTAATAGTTGAACATCTGTCAGATGTTTACCTTTTAAATCATTATCTAATTACTCAGGCTTATCTAATTGCTTATCTATAAATATAAAATATACCTATAAATATCTAATTGCTTATCTATAAATAAATAGGCATTATCTAATTGCTCAGGAAAAGTTATTTATAAAAATTCAACGCTAAAAAAATAATGTAAAATGAAAGGCAATTCTTGTTATATTTGAAAGGTACGTTGATGCTTGGTTCGAGTCTTTAAAGTTTAAATTTATTATTAAAAGAGAATTCAAATTGTTCTGTTTTTGTCTTATGCTCTATATCTAAAAGCTATTGTAATACTTATTGCATTATTTTTCATTTATTTTAGTATGTTATGAAAGACCTACCAAGCTTGAAATTTTACTGATTGAAATATATAGTATGTATATGTATATCAGCCCTTGGAATTAGGAAAACTAAAGTTACCAAAAAAAGCTAAAAAACTAGACGACTAAACCTATTTAAAATTTTTATTCACAAAATGTTTAATAATTTACTTTTTAAATTTATTTGTCATTGCTTCGGATAAGATGTTTTGTTATTCCTTTTACAGACAATGAGGATTGCAAAAGTTTTAAATATCAGAAACTGAAGAAGGAATTGATAATTAGCAGATAACAAAAAAGCGCAAAAGTACTGATTATACAACTCTTTTAAAGGTTTCATTTTAATTTGTAAATGTTTATATAGAAACTAATAAAATATAAGCTGAAAATAATAACATAATTAATCCATAATTGTGCATTATTCTAATCTAAATTAATTTTTTTTCAATTTCTTCAAAGTTAATATATATATATATATATATATATATATATATATATATATATATATATATATATATATATATTTATATATATATATATATATATATATATATATATATATATATATATATATATATATATATATATATATATTATAAAATAATAGTTTTATTTAGTTTGTTCTAATTTTATGTAAAAAATAAAGAAGCAAGTTTTAATTAGTAAATGATTAACCATTTTTATGGTATAGTAAAATAGTTTTTATTTTTCAGTTGAGGAAGAATTTTATGTGGAATGTTAATGCAGAAGGTACGAATATTGACAGGTTAGCTAACTTGATGTTACAATAAACATGAAATAAAGTTTGTGAAGACCTCAGTTCCAAAAATACTTGCATGCATTTTTCATGCATGCTATATTATAATATAGCATGGATGCATTCAAGTATAAAAAAAAGTTACAAATGTTTAATTATACAAAAAGATTATTTATGTGGTACCGCAAGTATATTCAATTGATTATGTAAGTATGTATGTACTTTACATCTTTGAAGACTAATACTAATTGTAATGAACATATCTCAAACAATATACACTCGGATTTACACTTTAGTTAAACCATCACCACCTCCACAGCCACCTTATCTCAAGCATTCAATTGCATTCTAAGTTATCTTTATTCAAATCAAGTGTGGCTATTATACCAAAAGACTGTAGAATGGACCAATCAAGTAAGATGTCTAAACTTATATCTTTTATATAGAACTCTTTTACTTTTAGATAAACTTGTTAATTTTATGACTTATGAACATATTTAGCAATGTAAGCCTTTTAGGATAGACTTTTTAAAATCAACTTTACAATGTTTTAGTAAATTTTTATTTAAAATAACTTTGTATACATAATATATCTATATAGTTATTTAGATTGTAGCTAACCCATCAGTACTTGCAAAGTCTTCTTTTCTGTTAGCCCGAAAATTGAGTTCTAAAATACCATTATGCACAAAACTACTATATCAAAGCACAAACTAATGGATTGATCAAGTAATACTTAATTTTTACCTCGAGTTGCGTGTTAGTACGTATATGATTTTGATATATAAATTTTAATTATTATGTTTGTTGTTTAGTTTTTAACTTTAAAGATGCTATATTATAATAAAGCATGCATGAAAAATGCATGCAAGTATTTTTGGAACTAAGGTCTTTACAAACTTTATTACATGTTTTAAGAATTACAATTTTATTTTTACATGTTTATTTATATTGTAGTGAAACTGTCGGTATCTCCACAACTTTTCAATTAAATAGAAAGTTTCAATCAAACAGGATACTGAGTGTGCCTACTGCTCCTTAAAACAATGAATAATGGAAGTTATCAAAATATAATATATATATATATATATATATATATATAATATATATATATATATATATATATATATATATATATATATATATATATATATATATATATATATATATATATATATATATATATATATATACATATATATATATATATATATATATATATATATATATATATATATATATATATATATATATATATATATATATATATATATATATATATATATAATATATATATATATATATATAATATATATATATTATATATATATATATATATATATATATATATATATATATATATATATATATA